TGATTTTTTTCAAGACATGTTCTTGCTAAGTCTTAGAGCAGCATCTAGTGGAGAAAGTGGAGTCAAGATAATTTTTTTGGTGTTCTTTTAAAATAGAAGAAATTAGAGAAAGTTGATTCTGTAAGAAATGAACAGACGAGTGACTGGAATGAATTCCATAAGTGAGAGAAAATAGGATTTAAGGCTCAGGTATAGGGATTCACTTCATTCACGGTACCTGGGACAATAGGTAGGTCAAGTGTGCAGGTTCGGCTACTTATTAAGAGGTGAAGGACAAGCATAGCAGCCGAAAAATGAGACCAGTTGTGGATACAAGTCTCACAGCAGCAGGCAGTCAGCAGTCTTCAGTGTCCTGTATGAGAGAAGGTGGTTTATGAAAGGGGCTTAGGGAGATAAACTGAGCCAAATTCTAGTGATAACACATAAGATGGGATATCACCATTAGATTTAACAATATGGAGGCTATAAATGTCCTTGCGTAGAGCAGTTTTAGTGAAATATGGGGTCAAAGTTTGAAATGTGCTTAAGAAATATTGAAAGATATAGGACATAGTAAATACAGACTGATTTTTTCAAGAAGTGTTCTTGCTATGTCTTAGAGCAGCATGTGGTGCAGAAAGTGGAGTCAAGATGATCTTTTTGTTTCATTTTTTAAATAGAGGAAATTAGAGAAAGTTGATTCTGTAGGAGAAGAACAGACGAGTAACTGGCATAAATTCCTTAAGTGAGAGAAAACAGGATCTAAGGCTCAGGTGTAGGGATTCACTTCATTCAGGGTACCTGGGACAATAGATAGGCAGGTCAAGTGTGCAGGTGCGGCTGCTGGTGAGTAGGGGTGGTGGAAAGTTTCTCCAGAATGCTTCCATTTTCAGTGAAGGAGGTAAGCAATGTCATCAGTGGAGAATGGGGAATGGATAAGGAGATGTTAGGGGGTTGAGGAGAGGAAAACTTGCAAAATAGACATCTAGGACCGTAGGAGGGTGAACAGAGCAGCATAGCACTGTTAGGCAGAAAGACAGGCATAAGTGGGGTGGAGACAGTCTAAAGCCAGTAAAACCCACTAAAAGGGACTCAAAGATTTAAGCAGATAAAATCAGAGAACCAGAAAGGACACGCTGAGTTAAGTAGTTAATTAGTTGATGTTTCAAAGGCCAGGAGTGACTTGGAATGTCTGGATATTCCCCAGGTAAAAAAGAATTCCCCAGATAGAGAGAAGCATCAGAGTGTAGCGCATGTCTTCCTTGTACCAATTAGATCATGCCACTGCAAAAACTACTTAGCCTGCAAAAGAGCCCCAGCTTATTCTTCACCTTAATCTGTATGCTGTTCTTCCTCTTCTTTCAATGCCTTAATCAATTAAGTAACTTTGTAACCAGGACAGGAGATAGACTTCTGAAGTGTAAGTAAACTTATGTGGATAAAAAATGGTGAGATCTGGACCAATACAGTCCCCTAAACAACACTATTCTTAATAAAAAGCTTCAAGGAACAGTGAATCACCTGTATACATCATGCCTTATGCTGACTCCTACCCAAAAAGCCCTATAAAACCCCAAACCCTGAACCCTTAAGGGCACTTCCTCTCTGAGGTTGGCCACATTCCCCTTGCTCCTAGTGTGCCCTATTTTGCCTTAAATAAAGACTTCTTACTGCTCAATTTATTACATTTTGTCTCTGTGCTCTCCCAGTGGCAAATGTCTTTGTCACTTTTCTATTTCATTCTGTTCTCCAGAATTAAGCACACGTTTCCACTCTGTCTCTGTCTACTTCAGAAAAGCAGGGAGGGGCTGCCTAAAGCTCTAATTCGGGCTTGCAAGTTCCCATCACCTGGGTGACACAGACAGGACTGCAGCTGTGCAGTCGTGCTCTTAGTAGCCTGCCTGAAAATCTCCTTTATCTGCCTTTGGAAGATCCCAGAACATAATCTGACTCCATCCAGTTCTCTGAGGCTCCCCAAATCCTGGCATGGTAGGAACTTATTTCCCACACTCTGAAGATTCCAGTGGGCCCTGAATACCAGGTGCCCCTGGCTTTAAGAGTTGGCAAGAGATTTGTCCTATGCTGAGCCAGACTTCAACGAGCTTCCCTTTCCTCCCTCTGTAATTCCTTGCTCTCTGCTGCATGCAAGGCAGCTGCCATTCCCTGCTCTTCTCACTTTCATAAATTCTTTCCACTTGGACTTCCCTGCACCTCCGAACTGAATTCTTTCCCTAAAGTATGATGGTGGGGAAGCATTAAGGGCCCATTGGAACACTATGATTGTGAGTTTGAAGTTAGATCTGTCAGAGTATTAGTATATATTTCATCTAAACATGTTCAACTACATGGTATAGGAAAAGAGTAGGTGGAGATATGGATTTTATCAGGGTTGTGGTACAGTGTCAAAGGATGGTGAAGCAAGAGAGAAACACAGGAGTAAAGGGTATTTGCAAGACAGAGCTTACAGTGATTGACTGTGGTATTTATTAGACTGGATATGACTATGCCAAAGAGATACTGATTCAGAAGTCAACTTCAATAAGAGAGATCGCATCACATTTCTCAGGCCTCTGTCTTTCACTCCACCTTGAGAGTTGTTTAATAAAAATTATTTTAGGATCAGAGAAATTATAGGGTCATGGTTATAAAAATTAAGACCAAAAAATATTGATGGATTATATCATTATATTGGAATCCATTCCACAAGTATGGGTAGAAATTGAAGAGATGGGTCAGAAAACTATTCAATATATTGTATATCAGGAAATAAATTCAGGCATAAGGATGGATCATCATATGAACCACGTCTTTAGTCTGTGTCTGATGTGTACCATATGGATGTGGAGAACAAGATTTTATGTCAACCAATATGATATACTTGCCGGTACTGTGATAAAGTCCAGAATTAGAGAAATTAGGGTTTATGTATTCATGAAGGCAATACAGTTAAATTTTTTCTACCCAAATTCATTCCTTTTTTCTTTTTACATATATTGCATATTTGCTTTTTTCCCACTATTTTCACTCTTTTTAATAAGTATTTATTGAGTATATGCCATAAATATGTCATAAATGAACTCTGAAGTTTATAAAAATAAATCAGTCATTTTCCCTACTCCCATGGAGCTTACAGTCTAGTTGTTCAAATCAGATCTATTCACACAGGTCTAAAAAGCACAGCTACCAAGAGGTTTAAAAAATGGTAATAAGCCATCTGGAAAGAATACAGCAGTTTCTTTAAACATGTACCATATGGCTATTAATGTACAATAGGCCATTAATTCCAGAGCAATGAACACTTACATTCACACAGAGACCTATACACCCACACACAAATGTTATAGTAGCTTTCTTCATCATAGCCAAAAGTTGTAAACAACCTAAATGTCCTTCAACTGGGTGAATGGTTAAACAAACTGGTATATCTGGACCATACGATACTACAGAGCAATAAAAAAATAATGAAGTAGTGACACATGCAACTTGCATTGATCTCAGCAGAATTATGCTGAGTGAAAAAGCGAAACTCCAAAGGTTACAGACCATATGATGCCATTGATATGCCATTCTTTAATTTACAAAATTATAAAGATATAAAAGAGATGAGTGGTATCAGGAGTTAGAGACTGGGGATAAGGGTAGGCAAGGAGTCAGGTGGCTGTCGGTAGCATGAGGAATCCCTGTGAACTAACTATCCTGTATCTTGACTGAAGGGGTGGTCACACAAATCCACACATGATAAAGTTACATTGAACTAAGTATACACATAAAATATAATTGCCTGTTTTTAAAACCAGTAAAATCTGAATAAGGCTGATGGATTTTCTCAGTATCAACTTCTTGGTTGTGATACTGTACTACAGCTAAGCAAGATGTGAACATTGTGGGAAACTGGATAAACGGTACACAGGATCCCTCTGTATTATATTTTAGAACTGTATTCAAATCTACAACCATCTAAAAATTAAGTATTTTTTCTTAATGTTAAGAAATTTCAGAAAAGAAGAGGTTATGTCCACTTAAGGGAGTCAAGGAAAGCTTCAGTGAAGACGCATCATGTGAACTAGATCGTAGATCTTGATATAATCTAGTCACTCTATGTTAATAAAGTTTAACCTTTTTAAAAGGTGAAATGAAAAATTAGAACAACATTCAGAGATAAACTTGACAATATGTTTTGGAATGATCCCAGTAAAACTTCTTTTGTAGAGTCAGAGGTAAATAAGAAAAGAGCCCATTCTGCAGATCTAGTTATCTCTTCATTTCAAAAATATTTATTCAACCTACTATGACCAAGTACCAATTGTATAAAGCAAGGCTGTAATTAAATTACAACAGTTATAAGAACTACCATTTCTTGAGCACCTACTATGTTCTAAGAACTGTGCTAAGTACTTTCAAACATTATCTCATTTTAGTCCCTGAAACAATCATTTGAGGTAAATATTAATATCCTGTCTTCTAAATGAGTATATTAAGACTTAGAGTATTTAAATAACTGGTTTTTAAGCACACAGTATAAAATCTGGGATTACTTCTTAAAATCAATGTGTAAACAATAATCAAGCTATGTTTTCTGCATAATACAAAAATCAAAGAAAGGTTCGAAAACATTTATTGCAAAACTATTACATACAGAGCATTTTTCCAAGTGCTGTGAGGAGAAATATGGTAAATACAGTAGAGGAAGTGCCTGCTTTCTTGCACAATTAGTTGATATTTCAGTCATGACTTCTTAACTTTCGCCAGTGTAATGGTTATAACAGACATGTGCCAAATTGCTGAAACCCTTTATGTGTTATCTTTCAAAAAAAAGTTGCCATCTTAAAAGCATGTATTTTCTTAACACATTTACTCAACAGTTATTTAATATACAGTATTACCTATTTCTCTGTGCACACACAGTTTGAACTATGGCTCATATTTTTACTGTGACCCAACCTCTTTTTTTTCAGCTCTTTCATAAAAGAATATATCAAAAGTGCCTCTGAGTAATATAATGCCTTTGTGAAACCTNTTCAAATTTTTTTGCAGAGAAAATTCTTTATATCTTATGTTATAAATTTTATGTTAGTTTGGAAACTCACCTCCAGGAATCTGGAAAATACTAATCACGATGCCAATTAACATGGTTTCACTTTTAAATGCCTTTCCAAAGATGCACTCTATTCTTTGGGTTTCACAAGACCCTAATATAAAATTTCAACTACAGTGCTTATGACTTGAAGAGCTAAAGGTCTTTCTTCCCTGTCTTCTGCAAGCTATAGCTTGCGGGTGCCACCTAAAGGTCTAACTGCAGAATACACTGAAATCAGGGGGAATGCATTTTTAATGGCGGTCATTTAATTTAGTTTGATACGTTCTTAAATTTTCACTTGAAATTCACTACTTGCCTCGATTTTGCTTTATTTCCAAAACATTTCATTAAAGAGAAGAAAAATCATTTATGCAAAATAAGAACACTGTCAACTAATGTCAGTTTTCATAACCTTTCTGTCAGCCAAATGCCTAAATTTTATCAGTTCATGTATCAATGTTACTTGGGTCAATAAGGTCAACTTTTTCTATTAATGTGTTTTTTCAAAGATGCTATGGTACAACACAGAGCTTTTCTGAATAGCTGTTATGAGGAAAGGAGATAGGAAAAACTCAGTGAAATATAACCATAAACACGGAGTTATGTCATGACACAGGTTCTAACTCCATAATGTCCTAGCCCACTTGCATGACGAGTTTCTAAGGACTCAGTAGTAATTTGCAAAACTAAAATTAGGCAGGTGGTTGATATTAGGCTTTTACTCTTCAGTTTTATGTTTAAGCAATTAGCAATTTAGTGCCATACTGGAGGTAGCAGGGTGGCAACTTCCAAGAGAAATTCCCCGTGATAGACTCCCACTTGAGCCCAGAGAATCTATGAGGCCCACAGTACAAGCACCCACTGAAGGCGCAGCCAGCGGCTGCAGGGGTAGATCTGCAATCATTTCAAAACAGAGGTCTGACCTCTAACTTCATTTGCATGCCTACAACTACACAATAATACTTAGACCTTAATCCCCTTCAAGATTTTGTGCTGTGGAAAAGCTTTAAATGCACATTCACAAGCACTTAGTGACAATCCCATTTCATTCAATACTTTGGACTGATTGTCTTTTTATTCCCTCCCATTCCACCACACAAAAATCTTAACATAAGGTATGCTGGTTATTCTTAAATGGATTTTCCTTCTAGCCTCAGATTTTAGAAGAATTTGCAATAAATTGTTTAGTGATATTTTCCCCATCTCCTCCTTCTTCATGGATTATCATATAAAGTCAAGCAAATGGATGATTTATTTTTTATTATTTTACATTGTTATCCTCTGCAGTGCATTGTCAAATAAATATATTTGTTTTAATTTAGAACAAGTACATTATATAGAATTTGTATAATTATTGTAGGCCACAAGAAGACAGAATCTTCCCCATGTTTATCTCTGTAGTTGTTTGTTAGAAATGAAAATAAAGCTATCTCTTGGTTTCTCTGTATTTCCTTAACTTAGGTTTCCCTTCTTTCTCCATCATGAAGTGTTTGGTATTTTAGTTGACCTATGATCATTTTCCTCATTCCGTTAAAGAAAAAAAAGACCAACACTTTTCTATATATAAAAATGTACTTCCCTTTTATATTTCTTTTCACCCTTTGTCCTGAGCCTTGAGGGTGGAATTTACTGACATGAGAGAAGCTGGGGAAATGAAGGAAGGAATCACTTGAAATTGCATAGAGCATGAGAAATTCATGTCACCAAGTTGGGACAAAGTCCACGTGGCAGAAGCAGGATCCTGGTGTGGAGCAGCGCTAGGACGGAAACCCATGCTTCCCGCAGACAGGTTTAGTCAGATCGTCTGATCCAAGCGACCTGCGAAGCTGCTTCTGCCGTTCTGGGTCTCTAGAAATGGCCTATGCACACAAAAAGTGTTCTGTTCTACTAGGTTTTTCTCTCTTAGGTATCACTTCTGGAAGAAATCCAGTCCGAGAGAGCAGTCACTCTGGTATAAACACCGGGCTTATTGGGCTGCCCACACTCATCTCCCCAGCTCACTATGCCGGCAAGGTACCAGATATCTCTAGCATCCGGACTAAACAGGGGTCCTCCAGAGTCACCCTAAAGAAGAGGGAGAGCTTAGTAAGCAACAGTTCAGTTCATTACAAGGGAGTTTCCTCTTTCCCTAACTTGAGTTTAATACAAGGGGCAATTTTTAAAAGTCTTCAGTGTGCTCAAGTGCAGAAGTGGTTCCATGTCATTCACTCAAAGATGAGGAGCTCCACCAACTGGAGAACTGGCTTAGTTCTCATTATAAGAAAAAAGTTCTCTAACTATGTATGCTGATATATCTTAGACTTATTTTTATTGTATATTATTAACATATTATTATATAATCAATAATTTAGTAATTTATAGTATATCTGATATTTATATTTATGATTATTTTAATTATACATAATTACACTAACATTACAAAAGATGATATGTTAATAAATTATTGTTATTATAGATCATTTAAAGATATATACAAATGTCAAATCATTGTATACATGAAACCAGTATAGAGTTTTACACCAAATATACTTTGATTATCAAAAAAGAAGAAATATCTAAATCAGTCCTTTAAGTTCCCACCTTAGAAAGCCAGAAAAAGAGCAAATTGAATCTAAAGTGGCAGGAAGAAAAGAATAATAAGAACTAGAATGGAAATCTGTGAAACAAAAAAAGAAAATCAAAAGAGATGATTAAAGAATCTAAAATGTTATGCATTGAAAAGAGCAATAAAATTGATCACCCTCTGGCCAATCTCAATTAAAAAAAGAATAAAAATAAAAATTACTGTCACTCTAGATGGTATGGACATGAAAAGAATAATAAATGAATACTATGAATGAATTCTTTGCCCACAAATTCCTTGAAAGGTACCATTCTTTGAAAGCACAATTCCTTGAAAGATGTAATCTGTCAAAACTCACACAGAGAGAAGTGCAGTCTGAATTAGGCCTCCATCTATTAAATTGAATCAATAATTGCCCTCAAAAGACAGAGACCTAAATCCAGATGGATTCACTGGTGAATTCTACCAGATATTTAATGATAATATTATACCAATTCTCTATAATCACCTTTAGACGATAGCAGCAGAGAGAATACTTCCTAACTCATTGTATGAGACTAGCACTACACAAACATCAAAACCAGATGAAGACACCACAACAAAAGAAAACTACAGACCAATATTTGTCATAAACACAGATACAAAAATCCTCAACAAAATGTTAGTAAATTGAATACAACAATGTATAAAAAAACTATACACCACCACCAAGTAGAATTTATCCCAAGTAAGCAAGCCTGATTCAACATTCAAACACCAATTATTGTGACCCATTGTATCAAGAAGCTAAAAGAGAAAAATCACATCATGTCAGTAGGTGTAGAAAAAAACAATTGACAAAAATTCAACACCAATTCAAAACTCTCAGTAAACTAGGAATAGAGAACTTTCTCAACTTGATAAAGAATATCCTTAAAGTACCACAAGCTAAAGTCATCTTTAATTGTGGAGTGCTCAAAGCTTTTCCTCTAAGATTAGGTACAAGCAATATAACCTCACTCACCAACCATTTTCAATATCCTACTGGAAGTTCTAGCTAGTGGAATAGAGAAGAAAAGGAAATAAGAGGGCAGAAACAGACCCATACAATATAGTCAACTGATCTTTGAGAAAGAAACAAAGGCAATAAATGGATAAAGATAGTCTTTTCAAGAAAAGGTGCTGGAACAACAGGACATCCACATGAAAAAATAAATAAATAAATTCTCAACACAGACCTTACACCCTTCAAAAAATTTAGCTCAAAATGAATCATAAATCTAAATGTAAGATGCAAACCTGAAAGCTCCTAGAAGATAACAGGAGAAAACCTTGATGCCCTTGGGTATGGCAATGACTTTTTCAATATAATACCAAAGGTACAATCCATGAAAGAAATATTAATAAGCTAGACTATATTAAAATTAAAAACAATTCTCTGCTTCCACTACTGTGAGAAAATATTTGCAATGACATGTTTGCTAAAAGATTGTTATCCTATATGTTAAAAGAAAACACAACCTGATTTAAAAATAAGCCAAAGAAATTAACAGTTGCCTCTCCAAAGAAAATATATAGTTGGCAAATTAGCACATAAAAAGTTGCTACATAGTATATGTCAACAGCGAAATACAAATTAAAAAAATAAGATACCATTACTCAGCTATTAGAATAAGCAAAATGCAGAATCCTGAAAAACCCCAAATGTTGGCAAGTGTGGAACAGGAACTCTCATTTTGCACAACCACTTTAGAAGACTTTTCAGTGGTTTCTTACAAAACCAAACATATACTTACTGTACTATCATGCTCCTTGGTATTTACCCAAATGAGTTTAAAATATGTCCACTCAAAAACTTGCACATGGATATTAACAGTAGTTCCATTCATAAATGCCAAAGATTGAAAGCAAACCAAGAAATCCTTCAGAAGATAAATGGATAAACTGTGGTAGATCCACACAATGAAATATTATTCAGCACCAAAATAAATTATCTGTCATATCATGAAAAGAAATCAAAGAAACTTAAATGCATATTACTAAGTGAAAGAATCCAATCTGAAAGGCCACATACTGTTTGATTCCAATTATACGTCATTCTGGAAATGGAAAAACTATGCAAACAACAAACAAATCAGTAGATGCCAGAGGTTGGATGGTGTGAGGGATGAATAGTCAGGGCACTAAAGAATTTTAGGGCAGTGAAAATATCCCATATGATAGCTTAAAGGTGGATACATATTCCTATACATTAGTCTGAACTGATGGAATTTACACCACCAAGAATTATCTATAATGCAAACTATGGACCTTGGGTGATTATGATCTCTGAATGTAAGTTTGTTACTTATAACTAATGTACCACTCTGGGGATGTTAACAGCAAAGTCTATGCATACGTGTCTGAGGACAAGGTTATACAGGAAATATCACCACTTTCCTTCCAATTTTGTTGTAATCCAAAAACTGCTTTAAAAAGTATAGTACTAGATTTTAAAGAGTGATTCAGACATTATACATATTAGTTTTTTACATGCCTTTTAAAAGAAATTAATAATATAGGGAGCCCAGAAAAGCTGTTTCTACATATTAATCCAGAAAAATAAATTCTGTTTGAGCAGCTAGTAACTGTCACCCACTAAAATTATTTCTTGTCTAGCTGACCTATAAGAAGGCGTTTTGCCATAAATTTAGGCTAACCTTAAGAATTCTTTGAAATTAAAAACTGTCTCAGTAGACTCATCATGTAGGTTTAAAATAATAGATTCAAATAACAATATTTACCTGGTAGCTCAAATCTAAGAGCCTACTTATTAATTAGATATTATTTAGCCAATGCAAATCACTAATTAAAGGCAAATATTCATATTCAAATCAGTTTGCATCAATTTAACAAATAGATTAAAGATTGCACTATCTTTATCCCTTATAAACTTAATAGCTTGTCTAATGAAGTTTTAATTTCAGTATTTGATAAACAATTGGGGTGATAAGTGAAATCCATTATCTTACTGAAAATTTTGAAATTCTTATTCATTTCAGTATGGTGTGTTAAAAATTACTTCCAATTTAAAAATAACCATAGAATCGGAACAAATAAATATTTCTACTTGAATATTTACCTTACTGATAATGCAACTAAATTCTACAAATGTTTTGTGAAGGCTAAAAAACGTATTTGTTAAATGTTAGCATTTTTAAAAGGTGATATGTTTTGACTTTTACAATTTTTTATGTTTCAAGGAGAGCTGTTTATGTTTGCTACTTGCCCAGTTTGTTTTCTGCAATTGGAATAAAGTAAATGGCTAAGATCCAGTGACAGGGGCACTGGTCAACCGTGGCAATGAACACTACCCAAGTCAGGGGCCGTTTAGTTTCTGAGAATGGCCACCCATTGCATAGAGATCTGCTTTTGCTCAATAGCCACTGCCCACCTGATTTCTCCACTCCTGCTTTCTGATAACCTGCAGATTTCTCCCTTTGCCCAAATATCGTCAGAAGCCATCTAGCAAAAATTCTTGGGTGATACCAGCTGCATTTGTTAGTAGAACTGCAGCATACACTTGGGTGGGTAGGTAGATAGATGATTAGATAGATAGATAGATAGATGATAAATACATGATAGATAGATAGATAGATAGATAGATAGATAGATAGATAGATAGATAGATAGATAGATATACATGATAGGTAGATAGGCAGATAAACAGACAAGGCTGACTATGTACTTTATTTAGCAGTTATTCATAAAACTGTTCAGATGAGGAAACTGTCACATCTAACAAAACAGAAACCCAGTCCCCTCAGCCAGACTACTTTCACACAGCTCTTATATCCCACACTCTAAGAGGTGCTCAGAAGGTTGAACTTCAGTACTTTTACTTACTTTGTTTATAAACAATCCATGTGTTGTTAAATCAAATCAAGGTGATAAGATGTCCTGTCAGATTGACGTGTCACAGCTATCCACTGACCTTTACTATTGGACATCAGAGTATTAATGTCTCCTAGTAATCTCGTGGGTAGTACACAAAGTTTTGCCTTCATTTTTCATGTGTCAGCAGCTTAGTTTATCTTTGGACCAATCACTGCAAGCCAATAGAGTAGTGCCTTCTCTGACTGGATTGTGAAGCAGACAAGTTCAAAATAATCAAGGAGTATTCACATCATGGCCATATCCCCGAATGGAATCTTCCCTGTCTTGAGAAATGCAGCTTCCAGACTGCGTGACTCCAAGCTGTAACAATGAGAAACAAGCACGTCTAAGGGAAATAGTGAAGCATACTTGTTAGGGAAGCCATTCCCACTCACAACCCCTTAAGATATTACCTGATTTCTTTCCTCCTGCCTGAGTATCTGTACATCTCTCCTTCAACTGAATCTCAACAAATCCAGCTGATAAAACTCACTCCTGAGTGGTACAAACTGCATTAGTCAGTGTCCTGGAGCCATAGTGGGATAAAAAAGGCTAGAATGGATTCATTCCCCTATAGGAATGGTCATTCTTATTTTTGCCCAGATCAGGATAGTCTATCTCACCTCCAAACAAAGCAGAGACCAGATGCCATCAGCCACGACACTTTTGCATGGCCTTCACAATGCCAGCTCCTACAGCGGCTCAGCACGCTCAAATTGATAATTTCACCTTTTTCTTGTCCATAAGATTCCTTTTGTCCTTTATCCTGAGCAGCTCAGGGTATTTTAATTGATGGTCTGATCCAAAACTTTATTCACTCTCAAAGTGATTCGTTTTTATTGGTTTGTTACACATTCACAGTGACTTTTATTATTGGACACCAGAATATTAAGAGATGCCCTGGTAATTTGCCTCATCATTCATCCATTCCATCTCTACCAAAGCTCAGTAAACCCCCAAATGCAGAAAAACGGTCTGGAGAATGTGATGTGGTTTTGCTCCCAAATCCTGAGATTCCTATATTAGAGTGTTGACAGAGATTTCTTCAGCATTTCTGTCGGCCATGGACAGAGTGCATAAAGTCGTGTTTTCTGAGTCACAGTGAATATCATAAGATGCTTGTAATGCAGCCTAGATACAGAGTAGAGAACACAGATGCCCTGTTTGCACAAGAAATTGACAACTTACAGGTTACTTCTTAAAGAGTTTAGGCTCACATGCACACATGTGGAATCACTGCCCCCAGTGTTCAAAAGGGGCTCAAGGAGCTCTGAGCCCTCTATTAACATGACGGACTGTTTCAACTCTGCGTGACTCAGTTTCCCTATGGATAAAAAAATCCTCTCGCAATAGTTAATATAAGGAGATTTTAATAAAAAATCTTAGTGGAGATTTTAATTAAAGAATACTTTTAATAAGAAAGGTGTGGATAGTGAAAGGAACAGAAAAAAATGAAGAGACTACAACAGTGGAAGATATAAAAGGCACTTGGTAATTATTAACTGAGCTGGTAAATAAACAAAGAACATACACATTTATTAGAGAGAGGCTGCCATAACATAACAAAATAACAAACAAGAAAACACTGAGTAGAGCAAATGGAAGACTGGTGAAAAACCAGGAGGGTACAATGAGTCAGGAACCATTGTAAGAATTTCAGCAAATAAAGTAAAATAGTATTAAATTCTAGGCCATGTAAACAAACTACAGAACCATTTTTATCTGATTTGAGGTTTTGTTGCTGAACCTCACGAGCTATTTCAGGGAAATAGTTGAGGCAGAAAGTAGACCAAGAAAATGGGAGCTAAGGAAATAAGACAAAAACATGTAGTTAACTCTCATTAGGTAGCATTCAGGTTGGAAAGTAAACAGTTTGACGGTGGAAAGAAAAGGGAAGAAACACGGAGCCCGAAGAGGACAAGGCATCAAGATCCATGTATGTCCACATATATTCATTTTTATCATAACATTGTCAAGTGTTAAATGCTTGGCATAATTCTAGCATTCTATATTAACCCAAGTAATTCTCACAACAATCACAAGGAGCATATTATTATTAAATACATTTTACAGGTAAGGAAACTGATGAATAGAGTAAATATTTTCTCAGCATCCTATTACTGGCCAGTGCTTAAGAGAGGATCTAACCATGAACAGCACCCAGAGTAAATATTGGTTAAAAGCACATTATATATGTGTACCTCATTTATGAATGTGTACATCCTACTGCAAAAAGGCCAGTAAGGAAAGAAAGTTAAAGATCTAGGAAAGGAGAAAGTTTAAGGATAAACTGAGGACCTCAGTTTGGCCAGTCTTAGCAGGGATGAAGAATAGGGTTCATGGAAATAGAGGAGGAGGAAAAGAAGGTTATATTTGCACAAAAGTTTACAACACTCAGGTTAAGAAATAAATTGAATTTTGCAAAACTAAGACAGAATGTAAAGTTATTTCTGTCAATAATCCTTCAAGTTTTACATAAACTAAAATGTTTTCAAAGTCCAACTATGTTCTTACTCATACTGAAATCACTTTATCCGTCTTGTCTTCTATCCAACTTCAACCAGCAGCATGTCAAAAACCTCTTGGATTTCCTGTTGATACCTGTGTCCCTTCCCAGCTTCAGGCAGTGTTTGTATCTAGGCTTTGTGCGCCTCTCCCATTCCCTCTTCTCCATCTGTAGTCATACTCCACACTTCCTGTCTCTGCACGCTCAGCCTTCCCCGCTGGCCATGGGAGAAGCCTGTTTCCATGACCGTCTCACTGCTCCTAGTATGTGAGGAGAGGCCCGGAGGCATAGGAGAAGGATTGTTTTTTATGTCCACCTAGAGAAGTGAGTATCAAATGAAATATCAAAGTACAGTCCATTCCCCATCATCCTGTATTTCTCCCATTACTTTCCTAAAATGCCAAGGCCATCCCATGTCTCCTCAGGATACTCCTGAGAACGTCAGTCAAGAATTAAGTCTTCATTTTTAAAATTTTCTTAACACCATCTTTTTCCATTTCCTAAAATCAATCCATAGTGGGATTTTGTCTGTGTGTTTGCTTTCCCTTTTCCTTGGATTTTCACTGCCTGTTTCCCACCACTTGGCCATTGAAGAAGGAAATAAAGTGCCTGCACAGGTCACAGAATGACCAACCGCTCTACACCAGACCATATAAAGTGGAATGTCTTTATGTCTTGCTTTGGAGGGGCCTGTTTGCAGAATAAGTCCTGCCATGGTACACAAGAAGCAGCGATCTGACTTCTGATCCTTTCTTGCATCCCTGCCTAGTAAAGGAATGTCGTGTGACTCTGCAGCATGACGGTTGAACAGTTTGAGACAAAATATTTGGAATCTATCTCTCTCAATGTTATCTGTTACCCTTCATAAATCTATTTCAGGTTCAGGAGTCATACCACTCACCTGCACACACATATATACCCCTGTACTCATAAGAACAGAATGTATACTTAAGTTTGTTAAAATAATTATAACAATAAAAGTAGAACATAATATATTTTATCAATACCAAGCAACAGGAGAAAAAGCTGAAAGGCTCAACTTTCATGATGGTTTCACATGTTGGGTCTTTTCTAGATCCTGAATCTGCCCCTAGATTGTGAGCATGATGCTCGAGCTGGTGGTTTGCTCAGTGCAGAATAGAATGGGCTAGTGTTCGCTGCATTAAGAGGAGCTATCTTAGAGACTTATTTCAAACTTTATAGTTATCAAAATGCTCATAGCCGGATCAGTGATGTCACAAGATGATGGAATAGGAGATCCCTTGCTCACAGCCCCCCACAGCAACAATTATTAGGCAGCCATCCACGGGTTAAAGAGCTTCTGTGGGAGTTTGGGACCTAAGTACGAGGTTGTAAGACCCCAGTGGAGCCCAAGATTGAGGAAGCTCATTTTAGGCAGGCCTGCACCCAGGTGGAAGTCTGGCCAACAATGACCCTAGCTAGACCCAGAAACTGCCCAGATCCCTCGGGGTTTGCTAGAGCCTTGACTGGCCTTGGTCCTGCCACCAGCACCATCCACCAAGGGACCCAGGAGGACCCACGCCTGCCCCTGCATTGGGTAACAGCTTGCCGACTTTGGTCTCTACTGCAGATCCTACCGCAGCCCTGTAACTTAGCTCCAGGCCCTATCAGCTGTGGCCCAAGAGCGCTGAGCCAGCCCAGGGACCCACGGGGAGACACGCCCATCTGTGCACCCGGAAGGAGGTCCGCTGACCTCAGGCAGAATAGGGGTCCTGAAACGACACTATACTTCAGCACCATACCTTCCTTGCCATGGCAGAGGAGCTGTCCTGCCTTCCCAGGGCTCTGGCAGGAGACATTCCTACTCGTGACTCCAGAGGCAGACCTGCAGACTTTGGACCTGGCTATAGACCTTAAAGCAGCCCTGTGACTCAGTTCCTCCCTCATTTAGCTTATGTCCAGGGCTCGTCCTGCCTGCCCAGTGGGAGCCCTCTGAGAGCCCTGGGAGAGCCATGCACATGCAAGCACTGGCAGCAGCTTACTGTATGCAGACTCGACTGCGGGCAGATTAGAGAAATGCAATAATTAGGACAACGTTATATCAGAGCAGAGACAGATTGGTTGAGCAATAGAACCAAATATAGGCCCCAGAAAAACATTTACGTATGCATGGATATTTCCTATGTGATACAGATGGTGAAAGAAATAAGAGGGGAAGTAAGTCTGCATGTTTTATTTTATTGCAGTAGGACAATTGCTTATCTATATATTGTGTATATAAAAAGACTGCTCCAGTGTGTCAGAGCATACACAAAAATGAACCCTAATAAATAAGTCTGATTTTATAGAACCATTACTTCTAATGGTAAATTATATTGGCCACACATCTCCATTTCGAAATCAGATGACCCAGCATATGATGAGTTATCTGATTTGAGATAAGATACTTATTGTTACCTATAATATATGGATTTCTTAGGGTTGTTATGAGTATGAAGTGAGATAATATATACAAAGAAATCAGTTTAGTGAGATCTGTAGACATCCAATAAATGTTAGATCTTGTAAGTCATTCATTGACTCACTTCTTCACTCAATGGGATGGAAAGACTGCTGTTCCTATGCCACATGTCATGGAGACTAAAATAATTTGGGGGAGAGGATGACAGATATCACATTTTAGCAATTTTTATTCACATTTGTCTCACCTCTCCAACCCTGTTTGTTCCTTTATAGTGCTTGTCATCATTTGTCCCGCATATTTTTATTTGTTTGCTTTTCTCTATCTCCTCTTAGACTGTAAACTCAAAGGGAGAAGGGGTTCCTTCTGACTTCCTCTGTCACCACAGCACAGGACACAGTACATAACATCTATTGATAATTGTGGATGAATCTAAAATGCAAAAATTATTCTTCTAATTATGCATTCTGACAAATACTCTGAGAGATAATAACAAAGACTCTAAAAAAAAATTACTGACAGAGGTGACAAAGGAGGAAAAAACAAAAACAAAAGAAGATCCCGAGGTTCCCAGTCCAAAGGGGAAGTTGGAAGAACCAGTACCAGGGTTCAGATCTCTGAGAGGAACTATTGGTCAACCACTGGAAAAGCTAAAGGGAAATGTTTTTAAGGCTCGCAAATGTGCTGTGTGCAGCTTCACCACGAAGATCCCCTAGAGTTCTAAGGACATTCTCGCAACACAAATTAGATGGCTCTTCCCACCAGTGCCCAAATTTGCCTCTGTTTTATGTTCGAGTCTCTCTGTCCAGGCGCCTCCTCAGTGTGCACAAGATGAAGGAACCTCGGCCAAATGTCCAAGCAGAAAGGGTCTGGGCAAGGGGACCAACAAGAGAACAACCCCAGGCACAAGGATAATCATCTAATGGTGTGGGGTCAGACAGAACGCAGTGGACACAAAAACTCATGTAGCTGAAGCTGCCTGCGTACTCCTGTGTGCACACATGGCAGGGCCTTCATTGAATCCGAAGGAATGAGTGCAACTGAGAAATAGCTACAGAGGTCCAAAAGGACAGACTGTCCACACTGGATTATAAAAAGCATTTTTGTTACAAAACATTTGCAGCATGATAGAATTAATAGTACAGTCAAGGCTTTTGCAATATGTTCTATTTCAATGAAACTTTTTCGTTTTATATGTTATTGATGAGCATTCAAACAGTATTGGAATTTAAGAGTTCATATATATTTAAAAGAATAACTTTTTATACTCTTTGTTATATGTTTATATCAGTACTTGGTGGAAATGATTTGAGTTTTAGGGTGTGTGTGTGTGTGTGTGTGTGTGTGTGTGTGTGTATGTGTGGACACAGTATTATATATATATTTCTGTTCATTTATGATGAGCTCTTAATAACAGAAACAGTTCCTAAATTCAAGCATCCATCTTGTATGTAACCAATATCAATGGGATAAAGATAATTTTTTTCCTAACTTTTTTAAGTTTTACAATGTACTACATAAATTATAGGTGATTGTGGGTCTTCAAAATATGAGGAACTTAATTGTCTTAGCATTGTTCTCAGTATGTGTGCTCTCAATAAGAGAGTGCACATTTAAGACAAAAAAAGCAGTGATAAGTTCTTCACAGTATTTTTCAGCAGACACCAGAGAGTATTTAAAGCAGCCTTGCAAATGCAGTTGAGCCTTGAACAACTCAGGGGCTAGGGGTGCCAACCCCTCCACACTCGAAAATCTGCTTATAACTTTTGACTTCCCCAAAACTTAACCACCCCTAACCAATTGTTAAGAGGAAGACTTGCTGATAATAGTCAATAATATGAATTTTGTATATTACATGTAAATAAGTTAAAGAAAAGAAAAGAAAATGTTTTTTCAAATAGTTGCAAATCTCCAAAACAAATTTTGCAATATATTTATTGAAAAGCCTCAGCATATAAGTGGACCTGTTTAAACCCATGTGTTCAAAGGTCAACTGTAGTTTCTCTCCCCATGACGGATAAATACTTAGAGTTCAGTTAGGATTGTGGATTTCCTTAATTTAATCTTGAGGAATGGGGAAGAATGATATAAAGAAAATGGTTATAAAGGGAAAATGGGGACTAGGACTGTTTTTTCCTAGGCAGATTTGCAAGGCTGGTTTAAAGAGCATGAGGAGATCAAGTTAACAGAAGGCTGGAGTACTGTAAAAGTTACAAATATGAGTGAGACCAGTAAACTTACACATGCAGGGTTTCATCATGTAATTTATTTAATATTACAGAGAAACAGTTAGGAATGTCAATATGTCTCTGACTGTTAAAGTAAAAAAAAAAAACAATGACAACGATTTGACCATTTACTGTTGGAAGAGTTTTCATTTCCTGTGCTGGATGCCACAGCCAAATGCTCTGGTACGTTGAGCTGGTATGCATGACCTCAGCGACTGACTTAACAGTGGGACGTTCTGAGTATGGCAATTGGTTGTTGAGCAGGAGAAGGAGGGAAAGAGAATGAGAGAGAAAGTGACAGAGAGCCAGAGCCAGAATGTACTGCCCTTTCTAACCTAGACTGGCAGCTCAGCACCACTACTAGCGGGTTCTTTTCTGAAACAGCTGAAAATCCTGCCAGTGTTCAAGGAGACATGGTGGGACGTATTTGTATCTGTAGTCAAGTCTGAAATAGCCACAAATATAACTTTTTGAGGTAAGCCAACAAGATCACTAACTGTTATAAAATTCATGCATTATTAATACTAAAAACATAATAAAGTTGTTAAGAATTATGAGTTTAGATTTTCACAATAATTGAAATTTGAATAAGCACTGCACTACACTTATTTCTAGGTATTTAAATAAGATATGGGTGTCCTAAAAAATGAGCCCAAGTCAATAAACATAGTGTACCAAAGAAAATTAGTTTGTGTGTATCATCTTAGAAAAAAGCATTATGACAGAAATGAGTTCATAGCCTGATACAGGACAGCAAACAAGAAGCTTTGAAAACTGTGAGGCAAAGTGAGCGCCTGGCTATTGTGGTGATTCATGTATCAGTTCTCAGCAGGAGGTGGCGGTAAAGAGCAGGTGTTCATTGGGAAACCTGTCACATTGGGGCAGCACAGGTTTAATTTTTCTTAAATGAATACTGAAAACAGTCTAATTTCTATTCTATGGGTTGAACAATACCAGGGCCAGAATTTTTTTTCCTAGTCCTAAATTAAATGATACTGAGACCTAGCAAAAATAGTTTAGTAATTTGTTCCAGGATAACCGGTCTGTGATCATCTAAAATAGTTTACTTATTAAAGCATGTAGCTTGCTCAACAGGACAGGTTTCAGGAGCTCACCTCACGGTGTCCAGCAACCCGGGTTTGTGTCATGAACACTGTCCCGAGCCAGTTTCCTCCTTTACAAAGCCCTCCTGGATCTCACCACCCAGGGCCCATCCCCTCAGAGTGATCTTCCTTGGCTTCCATCCTCTGAAACAGCCAGAAAGCCCCCTGTTTGCCTGTCCTGTAATAAACCCAATCTAGCTTTGCTTGATTGGTAGGTCTTTGTGTGTGGTTGTGTGTGTTCTTTGGAGGAGTTGGCAGCTGACTTAAACATTCAAAAGAATCTGAACTCCTAACAGAATTCTTGATAAAGTGATAGGCAGTCTGCAGCTAGGTTTCTTGAATTTGAATGTAATTCAATGCCCAGTATTTTGTTTCCAGATTGATCCAGTTTTCTTTTTGGCAGTTTTTCCAGAAGTCCCTTTTGGTGTGTAGGCTTTCCTGATCATGAAGGCTACATTTTTTCTGTATTTTCTCAAAGACCTTTCTTTCACCTCACCTCTTTAATACATAACATTGAGTGCTTCAGCAGAGGTGTTACTAATAATACTTTTGTTCTATGTTTAAAGTGTAGGTAACATATATCTCTAATCAGTATTAAAATGGAAAACTATAAAGTAGATACCTAGATTTGGGAAAAAATAGAAACTGACACAAAATTTAATAATTTCTCACAGAAATCATTTCATAATGAGAGTTGTATAATAAGAAAAATGTGAATATCTCAGCTGATCAAGAAGTTCATGATCTAAGTTCTATACTAATGAAATGGTCATGATCTCACAGCCCAAATTTATTTCAAAACAAAACTCTAATGATATGTATTTTCCAAAACACAAGTTTTGCACAAGTTCACCTAATAAATATAGGGCAATTTTAGAGAAAAATAAAATTTTAAGACTGAAACATGTATGTTCAGTATATTTCCTAGTTAAAATGATCTGTAAAATTTATCTTACTGAAACATCAACTACAATAAAACCCAAAAAAGAGAGGACAGTTACTTAACATTTTCTTTGCTTTAAGATAATTAAATATCTTTCCAATGGTTATCCTTAAGAATGTCTTTTAATTACAAATTTGTCATTAGGTTATTTCTTAACAAGTCATCCTTTAAAACTTACCTTTCTAAAGTGATTAGTTATTTGTTAAAATTCCAATCCCATGCTTTAAAAAATAGCTTTGCATGAAAAGTATATAGAAAATTATTTATCTGATTAAAGAATATAAACACCAAAATCAAGGGGACCAGCATATTTAATGAAAAAATGTACTTACATTTGAAGACATATGACATAAGACTTTCTATTCACAGGGAGACAACAAAATAAGCATAAAACAAACAAAAACAAAGAGGAAAAAACAGATCACCCTTGTTATCTTTTTTCAACCACACTTACACACACACACGCACACACACACGCACACACACACACACCCTGCATGGTACTGTGGCTGTGATTTCTTTCCCTCCCCCGGATCCCTTAGAGAGCTCCAGAGGACCGTGACCATGTGCCCCAATGCCCACCTCCCTATGCACACACAGTCCTGTGACCTAACACTGGGGTTATAACTCTGAAGCTACCATTACTCATATAATCTAATATGACATTTCCAATCACGTATCTACATCTCTAACTTTGTGGGGTTTTTTTTGGCCTTCTGCAAGAAGTGAGAATTTCTTTTAATATGCTGTCAAGGGGCCTCTCTGCCTTTCACACCTAGACTTAATTTGATGGGTTAAAGTTCTCATTCTATCATAATATTCTCCAAAGCATAAACTCTATAGAAACAACCATCCATCCCCATTGTCCTCATAAATTCTATTTATCCCATATTTATGAAATAGAGTCATCAGATCAATTTAAAGACAATCCTGTGTGAACTTGCTCAGAGGGGCATGAGGTGACCATGCTGGCAACTTCAGCCTCCATCCTCAGGGATGCCAGCAAACCACCTGCTCTAAATTTGAGGTTTATTCTACATCCTTCATTAAGGATGCACTTGAGTCATTTCTTATGTAATGGATCAAGGTAAAGGCTTATGTGTTACCAGAGTACATTGTGGGCATATGATTCAAAGATGAAAAAACATAGTATGAATATTCTGATACTGTCCAGGGCTCTGTGAGGATGCAGATTTTAACAAGAAACTTCTGAAGAAACTGTAAGAATCCAAATCTGACATTTGTAGAGATGCCAGTCATCCTTGTGTTGAGTTGCTGTGTGGACTCCTTAACCTGCCTCTGGTCAGTCTTCGATTAACCACTGGTAATACATACACAAAATTCTGTGGTGGTCTTCCATTACCTCCTTCCCATGTACCCTTTGTCATATCAGAACTTAGTGACAAACTGACATTTATGGAGAGAGTTACAAATATCATATTTTCTATATTTCAATTTTGCATTTGAGACGTTTAACAAAAAGAAATGAGATAATTTTAACAGTCAAGTATTAGGTAAGTCAGTGGTTTATTTATTACAGTTTCCCTACAGTAGGTGGAAATCAACCTTACTTTCTCGGTGTGTGCTACAGTGTAAACATAAAATTTTAAATTTATATAATTTAAAATTAAAGCAAATTTATATTTCCTTAGGTTTAGTGCTGAAATGGACATATGATAGTTTTTTGGTCAAATTTATCATCCATTCAATAGAGCTTGGGCAAGGTAACTCTGTGACACTGGTGATGTCCCTTCAATTGACATCAATCTACTCTATTCTTAGGTCTACAATTTCACTGTGCTTTTCATAAATAATTTATTGCTATAAAATGAAGCACCTTAAAACTCATTGTTTTAAAATGGCAACCATATTATTTGCTCATGATCCTGTGGACCAGCAAATTGGGCCAGGCACAGAAAAATGTTTCCTCTTTGGGGCTTGCCTAGGCTCACTCATTAGGCTGCAGTTAGGTACCAGCTTAGCTGGTGCTCATTGGTCCAAGGAAGTGTCACTCACATGGCTTGGGTTTGGCAGAAAAGCAAACACTTGATTGCCTCTTACACGTGGCCTCTACAACAGCAAGTTTGTGCTTTATCAGATGGTAGCAGAATTCCAGAAGAGTCTGCATGCAAATTCAAGGCCTGGGTTTAGAAATAATAATATGTCATTTCTGCCACCTTCTATTGATAAAGCAGGTCATGAGGAAAGCCCAGTTCAAAGGGTGGAGAACTAGCCTCCACCTCTTAATAGGAGAAGTTGCCAAGACATGTAGCCATTTTTAACATACTACAGTAAGGAACTTTATTATATATATATATGTGTTGGTATGTATGTAAAATCAATTTAAGGTCAGACATGAGGAAATATATTTTTCAAAGCTTTTTTAGTTAAATAAATCTACTTATTATGTAAGTAGATTTTGTAAGATAAGCTATGAGCAAAAGTTGCTTTCAGCTTTTAGAATCAAATTTTCTGATATTTCTCTTCTAGATTCACTATTTCTATTATTATACCTGTACTATTTCTTTGATCTAATTCCCCAATATCTCCATCAGGAAGAAAACTTTCTTACTTGGGGATGAGGGATCTCTGTGTATTTTCTAGTTTACCTATTTCCTTCTCAATTGATTCCTTCATCTACTAAGTAAACCTAAAACATCGGGGATTACGTTGGGAGTATCAATGTCCGTGTTCTGATTCTACATGCACTACTTCCCCTAGGGGAAGGTTCTAATGTACTTTTTATATTTGAATGATTTCTAATCCTAATTCTATGAGGAACAGTTATTAAACAACAAACATTTGTTGAGCTTCTATGTTTCCTGTTTAAAGGAAAGAGAAGAAAAGGGGAGGGAAAGATTTGTAGGAAGGGAGCAGAAGGCAATTAGTAAACATTTATTGAGAATTTACTCTCTTCCAGGAAATCTTTGAAGTCCTTTTTATTTATTAACCCGTGGAAGACAAATACAAAAATCGTTTTCATAGGCACTATTAGTGTCCTCATTTTACAGACAGAGAAACTGAAGTTCAGAAAGTTTAGGTAACATACCCAAGAGTCTCATGTGGAAGAATGGCTGTGGGTGGAACTGAAACAGCAGTCCAGTCCCCTGGACCCAACCACTGTGTATATTGAAGTAACTGGAAGGAGAAGAGAGAGACCCTGACCTCAGAACTCCACATATTACTTGAAAAGACACTGTGCTAAGCAGCAACTATATTACAATATAAAAGACCAAGAAAGTTAGATTTTCTTGGAATAGGTGGTCCTCTTAACAGTCACTTTCCATTAGCAGCATATCATACAGTTACCCAAACTTACATATGTATACATATATACACATAACATTTGGGGGTCAGTATTATTAAAATTTTGGAAACCTAAGAAAAATATCCATTTCAAATGGAACTTAAGAGTGCTTAGTATAAATGTCAAAATTACTATCAATAGCTAAGAAGGTATGTAAGATTAAGATTACAGAGGAAATAAAAGCCTGAGTTATAAATCATTAACCTTTGATTATATATATATATATTTTGTATGAGGGTTGGGTGGCAGTGGCTTGGAGAATAAAAGCAAAATCAAATCTCTAAAATAAATCTGCTAAAAATTAATCTGGAAACAAAGGTTATAAAAAGTAAGCCCTTGGATGAGATTCTACAGCAAGGTAATACAAGGTAATGTGAAGGGAAACAGCTACTATTTATTTTTTAAATGGCAAACAATCAAAGTGGAAAGGGGGATGGTGAGGGAGACATGAAGGATGGTAGGTCTTGGAAAATAAGACTGAACAAATAACCCAAAGATCAAAGTTCCTAAGATAAATCTGCTAAAAATTAATCCAAAACCATAGATCACAGAAAATAAGCATCATTGAGATACTGCAAGAACTGCATACACAGTAATGTGAAGGATAATAGGGCATCAAATGGCCAAATGGCAAATAATCAAAGTACAAGGATGGATGGTGTGTTGAGTGGGAGGCTGGGTGATGGCTCTCTGACATATACGACTAAATGTAAGGAATATTTTATGTAAATAAGGGGACAGATGTGCAAGAGATTGGTACAGGTAGACCTTTAAAGCCAAGTCATCTTGCAGCCAGACTTTCCAGAATTTTTACACCACCCCTTGGACGGGCACCCTTCACAGTATTGCTGATTTATTCTAGAGAAAGAAACTGACAAAGGAGATGCCTTGGTCCAGTTATAAATGCATAAAAGGACTAATTTTCAGCTTTCTTAACACTTATTCCTTAGCTTAGTAATATTTTTCTTCAGTTTTTCCAATATTTATAATTTTTCTGGAGACCAAAGACACAAATTTAGATATGGGAAAAAACTTGATGGACTGAATCATGGTACAGTTCCTGAGGCTCCCATTCTTCCAGGCAGTAATCAACAGTTTTTCTTTCACATTAAAGTGCAATAATCAGTACATGTCAGAATGTTTGAAGGTATACCTAGGGCAGAAAAGATAAATGACGTGGAGACAGAGGTGAAAGACATCATTTCATGTAGTGCATCTCATTCATTATGCTCACTCCTGATCGGCAATCACTCAGGACTTTGGTGCCGCCGTAACCTTTCTTTTGTAAAGTATAGAAGGGAGAGTGACTCTGTAAGCTATGGAGGGATAGGCTTGTTGATTCCCGGTGATACCTGCATCTTTGGGGAGGACCCATGAGCCACTGGGGTTTTTCTACTTGCCTTTCCCTATGCTCCTAAAGGATATTTAACTTCCCACAAGTAAACTGTCTATTCTCTAGGGGCTGGCTGCATGGTACTGGAGACCAGACTGAGACAAGTGTGAATAATGCTGATTCTTCATCCTGCAGATCTATACTTAATGTGGAAGATCATTATGATCTTTAGAAAATTATTTCTTATTCAACTATTTAGATCTACCTTGGGATGTTTCTTCATTTTCAATGAGCAGCAAAGTGTATTCTGAACTGGCCTTTTGCTACATGAAATCCTGTTACATGGGTCTTCCCCAGAGGATACGAATATCAGTTAGCAATGAAAAGGAAACATATTTAAAATGCCATAGTACTAAATAAAATGTCACAAACACCTTAAAAGAAATATAAACCTAATGCTATGTATATGAAAAATGAGCAGATGATATTTATAATGTAATATTCATCACATACTTATGAAATCATGCAGAAATACTGGCCTGAAATATAATGTATAAGTTATTTTGAATTTGTAACACATGGAAAGAGGAATGAATCTTTAATGAATATTTGAACCTTGCAAGGATGCAGAGGTAGGAATAACTTAGCTATGTTAGAACCTCACTAAAATGGTTTTCTTTTTGCTTTTTTGTTTAAATGTTTGTTTAAACTTCAAAACACTGGCATATTTTGAACACAGGGGCCTGGAACTTTATTAGTATATCTTCTAAGGAAAGAATGGATATGAATGTACAAATGTTGGTATTCTCCTTCCCCTGTTTTCTCTTTCA